GTAATTTATTTTCCACAGGATAGGTTAGACCGTTCAAACTTTGAAGCCATTTTACTCAATTGCAATATTTTGGGTCTTGCGCGCACGATTTAAGCCAGACCGTTGATTGAATTGACTTCATAATTTTTCCAATGTTTCACCTCCATAAGGCCGTCAGTCTGAACTAGGATATCTTCAATCGGACAAGCGGAAGTGGCCGAAAACGGTTATTGAAATGCTTAAATTTGAATGCTTTCTTTCGTACACCTTAATATGTAAGTTTCAGGCACTTAGGAACCACCTATTTCAATTATCCTAGTTCAATCTAGAGTGCCGGGAGTCCTTTTGAAGGAGCAACAAAGACATTTATGATATGATGCCGCATTCTCCAAAAATCATGCGCGCAGTGAATTTTTGTCGTATTTTCGAGGTTTGGCAGAAAGATTACAGATCCTAGGTTATGAGGCCTAGAGTCAAACTTTTTTTTCCAAAATGAACCTTAAAAAACCAGCTTTTTATTGGAAAACCCCACTGACCCTCAAATCTATTGGAAATAGTTTTCATGTAAGCCTGAAATTTGCTAAAATTATGGTGCTAAAGACGAGTCTCCCCCCTTAAGCTTTTTTCATGTCAAACCTTTCTGAACTGCGCCATATTTTTCAAGAAAATGCATTTTACTGCATTGCCAATTAAGTTTAATGTTCTACGAAATTGTCGTACAAATTAGTCTCATTTATGTTTCGTTGTGTGACAATCGGTGACAATTAACTTCGCGGTTGTCAAATCGAAGTTTTGAAACGTTTAAATCATTGAAATACAGTAAATAGAGTGTGTCTGTCACTACCTGCCCCGGGGGCTCTTTTTCGTTTAAAATTTGATATCAAGGAAATGAAAACACATGTTTGAGCTGGTTCGGCGAGAACAACTTACTAGAGGTCCTTGTTATTGATTAAAGGTGCCAGAACGACCGGCAGTGCCGTTTGCTGGAAGAATAGCGCGAAAACATTTTGTAAAAAAAAGTCATAAAATCTGTGATTTTGGGTACTTATTTTCTTGGTTTTATTCTGGGTGCTAAAATATTTTGTTCAAAGTCTCACTCTCACTTGAACATGATTCCACAGCACAAGACCTTTAGATTAGCCACTTCAAGATGTCTGAAGGTGCCATAGGGTGGCCAGGGCATCCCTGGGTCACTTGGTGCCCCTGTTGCTAGGTGTCCCACCCTCCCTTTATCAAATGAAAAGCATTTCACAGTGAACGTGAAATGACATTTCATTGTAATGCTGGCAGTGAATTCAATATGGGGTCTTATCTACGTCATCAGATTCTCACCACATATCATCGACGCTTCTCTTTGTGACGTCACGCGGCATCAGCAACCTTAGCTGCAGTGTGCGCTTCTTCCTTCAAGCCATCATCAGACACACGCATTTGTGCGTTTCTGGGCGATGGGCCAGGGGGCCGTGTCAGGTAAAACTTGCGTTGAAGTCTATCAAGGGAACTGAACATATCAAAGAGATTCAATTATATTTCGGCGAAACGTTTCATCTTTCGTAAGATAAACACATTGCCACCGCCTAAAGGCCGTAATACGACCGACGGTTACGGCCTAAGAGCCGTGGTCAGACACAGAAGTCTCGCCATTTTGTGGCGAGACTTTTTTGTCTGACCAAATTTTGGCGAGACTTTAACAAGTTATTGGGCATTTACGTGAAAAGGGGAAGAAAAGTACAAAAATGCTGTACCAACTTATATCTGAGAAAGGGCTTGGACATCCTGTAATGAGTCCATGTAGAATCAGAACCAATTGACCTATTTTGAGGAAACTTGACCTAATGGCAAGTGAAAAATCTCCATTTTTGGGGTAAACCTGTATTGAGCCAAGATTGGGGGTCTTCTGGGTTCTAAATCGCAATTCTTTTCGTTGTACTTTTCTTTCCCGGTGGTGTACTATTCTTACCCTTTTCGAGAAGTACCGAAATCACATATATTTTGGCATGTTGTACGTAATGTGGGGACCTACAATCATTGAACAGTGATCCATTACATCAGGAAGGGACTGGATTATAAGTTCACGAGAGCAGAATAGTTGAACCCTCATTTGGAACTGCTGTACAGTGCAAAGTACGCGTTTTGTTCTTTTCTTTCCCAACCTACCCCTATTCAGGGAAATGTGGCTCAACTTTGTTACCTCGCGCAGGGTGATTCTGGCGGCCCGTTGGTCACCACGGGAATCCGCGGGAAGCCAATCCTCATTGGCCTCACTTCGTTCGGGACGAAAGGCGGCTGCCAACTCTCGTGGCCGTCCGTCTTCACCCGCATCACGTCCTATTTGGACTGGATCGGCGAAAGCGCCGGCAAATTGATGAAACCTTGAGTAATCGGTTGCAAACTCATGAGCCCTTACTCGCGCATTATTAACTCCGGTTATTATTTGTGTTTGAATGGTTTGCAATTAAACAGTTAGCAAGTTTCGATGTTCAATGAGATAACTCATTATTTAATCTCTGTTGCCGTAGACGACCCGCACGAGCAACGACAACTCCACTTACTCTTTAACTCATTTACGTACACTTTTCACTGTGGCAAAAAACTACGGAAAATTCTGTAAACAGCTTGTGGTATTTCTCCGTAGCCCTCTTGTCAGTATTCTCCGTAGGCTCTTACAGTATTTTCCGTAGGACCGCACAGTATTCTCCGTAGGACCTTACAGTGATCTCCGTAGGACTACACAGTCTTCCAGGTCCTACGGAGAAGACTGTGCGGTCGTACGGAGAATACTGTGCGGCCCTACAGAGAATACTGTAAGAGCCTACGGAGAATATTGATAAGAGGGCTACGGAGAATCCTGGCAAAAAAATTAACAGAATTTTCCGTACCTTTTTGCCACAGTGTTTACAGAAATAATTTCTTAACACTAGAAAGGCCAAGCGAGTCAAAATGACCCATTTACGTTTTTGAATGTTCTCTTTGGTTACTTCACATTAGAAGAATAGTCCCCGAAAATTTTGACCCTTCCTAATTTAATAAAACCTATTTGGGAACTCTACCTCAAGTCCCTCCTTGTACACCGACGACGATGATGACGACACACGGACACAAAGGCAAATGCATAGGCCCTCTCCCTATTTTCTTAATAGAAGGGCATGCCACAAACGAAAATTCTAAGTTTTTGCCCTTTTTTGTTCTGCGGGTTGCCTACCCTGTCCCTAAGATGGACATTGGACTTCCGACTAACCCCGACTTACAAAACATGGAACATAACTGTTTCAAAAAAACAAAAAAAAAGAAAGAAAAGATCTCAAGAAATCCTAGGAGTCACGAAGTCAATTTGATTATTGTGTAGGAGTGTGGAGTAAGAAAAAAATTGTGTAAAGGGGATAGGGGGTGGCTCAGGGGTAGTGGCTACCAATGGCAGTGGTACCAATGTGGTCGATCCAATAGGTCGATTTTAGCACGTTTTTGCAACGCTTTTAAAAAGGGGTGTCAATTTCGACCTATTGGATGGATTCTGTAGATCGGCCATTTCGAGTCTAAACCTAGTAACATTTAGGAATATTTCTTTTTGTTTCTTTAAGACGAATCCATTCCCGTCATCAGTTTTCCGGTTCTACGACGGTTCACCTAAGCTTTTTCGCCCAAAACCTGGATGCCTAAGTATTTTTTGCCGAAAATTAAAATTTGTCATTTGACCTAAAAACGTTTAACCGCACAAGAAGTGCTTTGCCCAGAGTTTCATTGTAGAGACGCCAGCTGCCCACTGGTGGAACAAAGGCATTAAAATGATGCCCTGTAAGGGATTAAGATTTATGCCCCTGGAGCGGCGTGAATCGTTTATGCCTTTTGGAAGGGCATTAACACTGGTGTAAATTCATTCAGGAAGTCACTCAGGAAAATTCACTCAAATAACAGGAAAAGTAGCGATATACATCGGCAACTTTGGCCCGTCCCGTACATTTAGAGATGTGAGAGTTTCGCGCATTTAGCCCTAAACCTGAGTCTGGGTCAAAAAAGATGTCATTTTCGGCATCAGCACCCTCAAAAACATCAGACACCACGCAAACACTCGAATAAAAAGAATGTTGAAAATACACCCCACTGGGATTTGAACCCGGGTCCAAACTTCTCCGATTCGCTCGAAATTGGCACCGTTGGTTTTGTATTGTCGCCCTGATTCCAAAAATACCCCATGCATGCCCTCCTAGCTGTATCCGTTCCCGAAATCCTCCTCCACCCCATGTAGCCCTATCTTAAAAGGAAGTCCCCCTGGAAGCGGAAGTCCCGGATCCCACTGAAGTACCAGATGGGTCATTCCATATAAGATTTACACGGATCTGGGTGACCTTTGACGATTTCGACCAAATTTGGCTCGAAGGTAGCCCTAGTGGTCAGGAACATACCCACAAATTTTACACACAATTTTACTGAACCTGTGCGCGCGAATCGGCTGAGACGCCCCGTGAAGGTAGGCAGCCAATCCGGCGCGCAGTCTTTCCGTCTCTCTTGGGATGTCTAGCTGTACCCGTACTATCCCTCGCCCTACCCCGCCCCCCTCCCGCAACCTGCCCTGATGGAATTGGCCAAAATAGGTGTCAATCCACTCAGGATCCACTGAGTGGCTCTGCAATTTTCTTTAGCAACTCCAAACCGTTCAGATTCTACAGCGATTTGAAACTTTTGTCAACTTTGAATGTCGCATTCCTTGGCTACTTGGCATGTGTAATGAGAAAGGGACCAGCCAGGTTTCATTGGCTTACCTATAGACGATTGTATCCATATAAGCAATAAAATTAGGAAAAAGATGAAAAACTTGGAAATATTTTTTAAAACTTCACAAAAATAGAGCTTGCTAAAATAGGTGGTCCTTTCATATTGGTGATACTTGGTTCAGAGCGCACCTACCCTTAGTCGAACAAGCCCACAAAATTTCAGGTCTGGCCCAGCTTTTTAGCTATTGATCGGTTCACATTTTATACCTTAAGACCCTATTCTGGTATCGTAACTTAAACGGCATGAGCCAAACGGACTTGTGTTAGGTTTAAATCTTTTGAGCTCAGGGATGATCCTCAAACATTCCTTAAAATAAGACATTTCATGTCCTCTTGAAGTCCTTCTGAAATCCCTTCGAAATCCCTTCACAAGAGAACCGGTAGGGGGTAGGGGGTAGGGGGCGGCGGTAGGAAGTAGGGGGTAGGGGGCGGCGGTAGGAAGTAGGGGGTAGGGGGCGGCGGTAGGGGCGGGCCTAGGGGCCACCAGGGTAGGGGGTAGGGGGTAGGGGCGGGCCTAGGGGCCACCAGGGTGGTGTGTACGACGTCGTGTTGCAGTTGCGGTACTTGGTCCCACTGAGAAGGGTAAGGGGTGGAACAATAAAAATCTAAAAGTGCATTAAATGTTCATCTTTAATCATCGATGAAGTCCAAAAACATGAAAAGACCCAAGTAGCATGTAATCTTCAGAACTAAAAATAAAACAAGGTCCCTGCTTGACCAAATCACAAAAAAAAAAAAAAAAAGGACCGTCAAACACTAGCTACTAAACATGGTCCAAAATATAAAAACAAGACATAAAATCACAGGGCTTAGCTCTTAAAACAAACAAGATGCTTGGTATCCAGAGGAAAGGGGCCCACGGGAAGACTCTTCCTGGACAACTTGATTCTGATGTTGCCGAGGGTAACCATTGTAACCAGGATAACCATACTGTTGGTACTCAAACGGCTGAGGCTGATATGCAGATGGCATTTGCTGCTGCTGGATTGGATATGGCTGGATTGGATATGGCTGCTGCTGTTGAAATGCTTGCTGCTGGTAGTGAGGATGATGCTGAATGGTGATAGTCTGGAGAAAAAATTGAAAATTTGTTTAATTTCTAAAAAGGATTGAAAATTCAATCAAACATTGGATTAATTAGCTTCCTTATATTAAAATAGAGAATGCATCTCTCTAAAAGAGGGATATAGCCGTAGCGCCTTATTGTGTAGCAATACACATTTTGAATATTGTCATGTTGCCGCCAGTAAGTCCGAAGTTGGTATGCCTGCGAGCACCGCCTTGTGCGAAGGGATGCCCGGAAAGTCCCCGGAGCGGCTTAGGGTCCGCCATGGTCCAGGCCGGCAGTCGCGGTCGAGCCGAGGTGCAGGTAGGAGTGTGTGAGAAGATGTACGGAGACGGAACGGTTGTATCATGTAAGAGTCAAGTTCATGTAGAGTCAGCTATAGTCAAACAGTAAACAGTCGATTACCTTAGAACCACCTTGTTCCATCATTTGTCCAGTTATCCACGTACAAAACATCATTTTTGGTGCATCGGCCGGTTCGAACTTTGCATTCTTTTTATTTCTCTGTGCGCTGCTTTGTTTGTTTTATACCATGCTGCGGATTTCGGCCGTGACTCAAGTTTTTCTTTCTCGCCGCTTTTAGGCATATTTTAACTTTCCTTTTCTTTTTGTATATTTTATTTCTAATTTGGTTTTCCTATTTTTTTCTTTCTCGGGTTCTTGTAATGTAATTTTTTTGTGTTGTTTACTGAGACCACGTGTTTTGGAGGTTAGTTACTTCTCCGTGTAATTACTTTTTCTTTTTCAGCAGTGATATTTCTCTTGAAGTGAAGTGTATTTTGTGTGTGTTTTTAATTCTTGTGCCGTAAATTGTGGAATATTTGTCTGTTTTTGTTTTTTCTCCGGTCGTGTTACTTGACCACGTGTTTACTTTTCGAGCGTGTCTACTTAGTTTCCAAGTCTCACTATGGCTCTTGCTTTGCCTCCGTCTCTTCAGCCAACGCTTTCGCCGTTTGATCAGGATCATGTTGAAGAATGGCTGAATAATGTTGAAGAAATTTATACTAAATTTGGCGTTGATCGTAATGATATTCCAGTGTACATCGCGTCTAAGTTACCAGAGTGCGCGTTGCCTTGCCATGCAGAAAATAAAAACAAAGGTTGGAATGCCTATGTTGCTGCTTTTAAATTAGCGTTTGATGTTGAACCATGCTATGATTCTACTAGAGAACGTGTGTTAAACATGAAAAGAGGAGAAGACGAGTCTCTCCGTAGCTTTGCTTTCCGAGTCCAGCACGCCGTGCGTCATTACAAATCTGTGTTTCCCGAGCGTGAAATTTGTTTATTACTATTGCAATTAATGTCCAGTGAACATGCCGCGATCATGGCACGCCATCCTTGCTCTACTATTTTAGATTTTGTTCAAACTTTTGAGACTGTTATGCATCAAAAAGCTCTTGTGGAAAAGTCCTTGCCTCGCGCAGCCTCTGCTGCCGGCGCTAATCCTGGGGTTCCCGCCCTGGGCGCACCCAGCGGCCGCAGTGCCAGTCCCGCGGAAATTCCCCCGCGCGCCGCGTCCGACTGCGAGTCGCTTGCTCAGCTTGACGCTGCCCTTACCTACCTGATCGACCATTACCAGAGCCAATCTCACTCTAGGCGGCCAAACAAGGGTTTTCGTGAAAAGTCCGGAAACTTTTACCCATATCAGGG